CTTGAAAGTGTGGTGGTAGTGACACTGACGTAGTTTATAGTTTGATTGCTTTAGGAGCCTGCAATCTCCTGTCACAACAAAATTCAATGAAAACAATCAAACAAAAAAGCAATCAATAGCTGCCAAACATCGGCGAGCTACTTTTTGTCTCAATGGTGAGCAGAGAGCCATAATTAGAAAACTCGAGTAAGAGTAGGAAAAAAAACATATAGGATGTACCTACGCCAAGGATTTTAACAACACTTGCATAAAAGACAATTTGCTGCCTACAGATACCAATATATATATATATATATATATATATATATATATATATATATGTGCATATAGTATTTGTGTGTCCTAGCAAACACTTGAACAATAGAATAAGAAAACCATAGTGTACGATTTCCGCGTCCGATTCACGCGGCGGCCGCGCCTTGTTTAAGCGCTGGAGAGCGCTCCTGACCCAACCTTATGCGTTCGGCATCCCGCCTCTTTCTCGCCGCCACCTTTACTGCTCACAGGGTCATCAGCTCAGCATAAATGAACAACGGAAGATATTTTCACACGGGCCAGCATCAAATCGCTTAGGGTACAATTTGAGCTTACTGTCTCCCAGAAGCGAAACAACTGGATGTCAGCAGCGTAGTCATACGGAGATGAGCTGCTTCGAAACCTAAATGATGAGGGCCCGAATGAATGAATGAACTGCTGGAGGCTGTTCCACATAGTGCCAACTTGTCTGAGATGGTTTGATACCCACTTAAGGGTACCCACTTAAAAGTAACCAACCCGATGTCTCAAGACAATCGGCATGATAACAAAACATGATCCAGCGGCGACTTTCAAGAACCCTTTACACTTGCAGAGCACCCAGAGACGTCCATTGGTACCTGAAGTAGCTAGCTATTCTGACGGGACATCATGTTCCAAAAAACCTTGGGAACCCAAGATAAGATGGCTCAAAACTGCCGGCGAGCTAATAAACCGCGATGGACTGTTCCGCGAAATTCTGCGAAACCGCGAAGTTCAGATGGTTCCTGATATGACTTCACAATGATAGCTAGGTGAGTTCGTGTCCAAGAGGCCCAGACCCTTCTATTCAAATAGCGGGCTAACCGCTTCCCCTTTGAGAAAGATGTGGGCCAAATCCGAGGAGAAACCAGTTTGTTGGCGCATTTTGGTGGCATGATTCGTCATTTTGTTATGTTTAGACCCGAAACTCACTTTGCGAAGCTGCACCCCTGTGAAGACATCTGGAGCGGGACAAAAAGACCTCTATAAATGAAGTTGAGGCGCATGGAATGTCAGGGGACAAAGCGACCGGACGCTCCAATCGGCGGCCGAGTCTTTGTTAATGCTTTGGGTATCGCGCTTCATTGAAAGGGCATGGCGTATTTGGGTCTAGGCGAAACATTATTGTGTAATGAGGTGGACTTCGGCGTACCAATGACCTGCATGAATGTTGGAATGTTCCACGTTTTGGAATGCATTAATTTCATTTTAATTCCTTTGTTTCAGAGTCATCATTTTAGATTCACCATTACCAGGGAGACTTGTTTTACGTTCATGACGAGCGACGATTCAAAGGGAGTGTGTGTAGTCAAGTTGGGATTTTCGACTGTGCACGTGGGATGGTAGTGAATTTCGATTTCAAAATGCTGGTGTCATCGGTCTCTACCAATTCGCCTCCACTGACGAGATATTACCACAGACCCCAAATATTTTTTGGTTTGTATGGAAAAACGAAGTTATTGGGTATTCCCCAAGCGATATTCACTACTAAACACATCGACATCATTGAGAGGGTATCGTTAGCTTTATCGAGTGGCTTTTCAAGGATGTCGCTCGTCAACGCTGACAGCAGATTGCGAACGCAGCGATGGCGGTGGCCATTATGCTGATGTTTTTGTTATTGTTTTTTTTTTGCATTCAGCTGAGGGCTGCTGGTGTGCGGGGTTGGCCGTATGGTAGGGCTGGTCAATTGATACGCACCGCGATTGATTCATGTTGAGATACTTTATACTGAGATGAGACACAAATATTCTGTCTTGTCAATTGACTAAACTAGGCTCTATGAAAATGTAATTGTTCTACGTTGTTTTGGCAGCGACTATAGACGGCTAAGACTCTTATACCCTGAAATTAATGACCAAATTCCGAACGCACGTGCATCGAATTCAGCGCTTGAAGTAACAAGGCACATGTACTGAAATTGTTGCTGCGATATCACTGGTACACCAGGCATGTTCAGGGTGTCACATTTCCCGCCTCGAAATACGCAATGGATCTTCAAGTGCGTACCGCTCTGTACCGCCAGTGCTCTCCTATACGCACGAGACCGTAGCAACCGAGATAATGGCCATGTCATTAGCGCACAGTTCCTCTCCACATATAAGCCAGTGCATTCGTTCTTTCCTGTCCACTGATTGGCTCGATCTTTAGCATTGGGTTTCTTCACGCACGACCATTGATGCCAGCGATGAAAATAAATGGATATAAACTGTTGCAAGACCCAAATGTTCATCTAAGCACCAAAATTAACCATAGATTGGTACAAAACTCCCCTTAGGCGTGCATTTGGAAAATTAAGAAAAAAAAAACACTAGACACGCTCCCTTTAACAGTATGCATGCAGTTTGTCTGTATCGTTATTATCCTTCGCGAACATTTCGTAAAATCATTAAGAGACATCAAACTTAAAACCAGACACCTTCTCCCCAAAATGCCACACTTCCAGAAAGTTTGCTGCGGCTTAATTGTGTTTCCACGATTCGAAATGCTGTAAATGGGTTGCGATACGAACCTCGAATATTCAGAGATTATTGCTTGCGTCCTGATTCTAGTATTCAGCCGTACCATTTTAGTCCGGCGAGCGATTTGACCTTTGACGTTTCGGCCAGGCTTGACCGCTGTCAGAGGTTTTGCACGCTATGCGATGCCTTGCCACGGCGTCCCTGTGCAAGTTTCACCCTCTCTGGCCAACTGCCATTTCACCAGCATGCCTGCAGAACCAATGTTCGAATTGTCCGCTATCTTTTACACTCGGCCATCGGGACGAGTAAATTTGTTGCAAACGACGTAGCAAGCATGAGCTCCGGCTCTCTGAGCATCTATTTCTGCACGTTTAATCTGGTGTGGCATCCACCTATCCGGATATTACATTCCAAAAGCATCATCACTGGGATCCGCGACAGAAAACAAGACGCTGACTATATATATATATATATATATATATATATATATATATATATATATAAACAATGCGAAAACAAATCTCAAAGCTCAGACACAAGCCCTATGGGCCAGCGAACTCATCGGTCTGCTCACAGTGAGGTATGGGGGAATGATCTCAGCAGAGCTGGACAAAGCAGAAATGTTGTTTTAAAGATACATGGATGCACAATATTACTGAAAAGTTTGTGTCAGTAATCACTGATTGCTGATCGTTTAAAAGCAATGAAAACGGAATAACAGCACATACTATTGCACCCGGCAAGACCAAATGGTCGAAGTGCTCCGGTGTCCAATTCGTCACGTAAAAAAATGACTTACTGCCCCTCCGCCCGTAACAGGTCGTCACGGAGTGTCGAGACCCGTCCTCAAGAATGGGGTGCTCGTCCTTGCAACAAGCATGCATGTTTGCAAGTCTCACGTCGTATGGACCGGGCATCATGTATTTACGTTAGCACGATGGCACAAGATGAGGTATTATCAGACACTTTGCGTAAGAAAAACATGTGACTGCAGAATATGCGAAATTCCACCATGCATGAATGCAACTGAAAACCAATCATGGCGACGTGAGAACACCAAATAAAGTAACTAACCTGTTTCGATTGTTCGACGATGACTTGCTCCTTCTCTTCCGC